TCACTGCCAACGTGACAGATAACAAATCGTTTTCCTTTTCCTGGAAATAATTATTTCATCTACTTTCAAGAATACTAATAATAATAAAACAAGCAGAGTATCTAACAGGTGTTGGTTCCAAATCTAAAATTATCTATTTGTTTTCATGCCATCATTTAGCGATTACCACACGATTAGCACCGTCAGTAATTATCATGGAATTTGATATTTACTAGCGGTATGGCAGCGTAGTCAGGACATCAGAACACTACTGCTGTATAAGGTTAAGCAGAAACACTGACACTATAATCAGCAAATACTGATGGTATGGACCACAATAGATACTTACTGATCGAGTGACGTTCGCCTTTAAGGCCTTTTGCTATGCACCTATAAAATCAAAACGGTATAAGATATAAGATAGATCGAGGATTTATATATTTTATAATTTAATATATTCTATGATGGATTTTGGCAGATGTTTAACATAAGCGTACAGCGTTTCCTAATACTATCAACATTGCAAGATACCGATAAAAAGTATAATTCGTACAGATAAAGATTATATCATTTTCTTTCTAAAAAATGATTACGATAATGGATTTTTATGCGCATAAAACATTCACAAATCACAAAGAGGCACGCGAAATTGCGTGGACATGTCAAAATTCTATCAGCAATTAATTATATGAGGCTATCTGTAATGACTCAGTGATTATTATATTCGTAATTGTTGTAATGATATATCTACGGAAAATAAAAGATTTGAGGTCAAATTCACGCACTTGTCAACAAGAACACATGTGGTTCGGCAAAGCTGAGAAACTATTCATTATCTGCAAAAGATAATACCTGTATTTGACTCCAGCCCTGGACTTTATGCTTGTTTTAGATGAAAAAGACATCGAAGCACATGATATTTATTATACCACACATGGTGGCGCATCGAAAACGAAACAGATGCATTTACTAGCAGCTCAGTTTTTTTTGAAAAACGCTCAGACCCGGCGATTTTGTTTTCGAGGGGGACACAAGTTTGGCAAAAAATCACGTTAGCACGTGCAGCCCCCTAAATGGGGGTGACACCACCCCAAAATCTTAAATAGAAAGCGGGGTCGAGTGATACCATGGGCGTACTTATTAAGTAAATTCTTTTAGTCAAATTTCTTCTGAAGGTAGTACAAACTAATCTGATGTACATATTAAAGTCTACTTTGAGCTTTAAATCAATAAATCTTTAAAGCTACTGAACTGAAGTACATTAATTTTATATCATTATAAAGGGAATTAGAAGACCTTTAAAATAAGGTATCACTCGACCCCCCTTTCCATTTAAGATTTTAGGGTTGGTGTCACCCTCGCCCAGGAGGCTGCACGTGTTAACGTGATTTTTTGCCAAACTGGTGTCCCACTCGAAAACAAAATCGACGGGTCTGAGCGTTTTTCCAAAAAAAAAACTGAGCTGCCAGTAAATGCGTCTGTTTCGTTTCCGATACGCCACCCTGTATAATAAGTTAAATGCAAGCTTAACGAGCATAAGAAGTATAGGAAAGTGCAAACGAGAACTGTATATGTATTTTGAGGAACACGCATTTTATAGTATAAGGGAATTCTTGGATATATGATATTTTTATTCCATGCTCCACACTGTATATTGCGCCATACGCGTTTGAATTTAAACTTTTTACGGAAAGCACTATGAATTCGGATCTCATCAAAAGCCAAGTAGTAGATAGAACTTGACTGTGTTTCATACTGTTTACGTATACATGTAATTTAATACTGAACTGCTGTTTTCATTATATCAAAATTAACGAACAAATTATCGATCAAAGACCTTTTTTAACTACGCAGAATTGTCTATGCTATGCTAAGCTAAATTTAGCTTATACTATATATTGCTAGTATTAGATTTTACATTATTTTAGGTATAATAAATTCTTGATTCATGGGATGTTTCTTGGAATAACAGTCACTACATTTAAGCTCAGTTCACTATGTATTCTTGAACTGACAAAAATCAATTCGTTTAAGAAACCATAATATTGACTTTGTGACAATCAGTTTGTTTGCCATACCATTGATAACGTATATATTCTCCAAGATACATAAGACTAGAAATCCTGACTTACTTATTAATATTAAGATAAATGTCCAGTTTTTCAGTTTTACCTTCTGTTCGTTCACTGTCAAGTCCGTTGTAGCTCGAGTTAATGACATCTTTGTTAGAAAAAAATAATTATTCAGACCAATCATTTGATAGTCTTATTTAAGCAGTTTTGGGGGTGATTTGTAAATTGGCACTGTCACTGTTTTTACATCCTATTTCGGAAACATGCAATCTATGGCAGAAATAATACGAGAAGATGACAAATGAAAAACAAAACTTATGACGCGAATACTTACAATACGAGGTCTATAAACTGACTTTTTTAATTCTTTTATTCAAATAAAATTACAATTTTATTTCTTCCCTTCCTCATAGCAGCGCTGGAACTCCGATTCTGGCCTTCAGCTGGCCGGTTACAGCCATTTGAATGTTTTCGACTGTCCCAAAATAAGTTCTCTTAAGCTGATTTTTCAAATTTGAGAAGAGAAAAAAGTCACAATGACGCAAGTCAGGAGGAATAAGGAGGCTGAGGAGCCACATGAATGTTTTTACTGGCCAAACACTCGTTTATTGATATTGCTGTGTGACAAGGAGCAACACCCAGGTGTTCTAGATCTGAATAACGGTGATATGAGTCAAACTTAACTCTTCTCCGATCATTCTGACTGTCACCGACGATCTGAACGCACAAGATTCCGGATTCTGTCGATTTTCTTAAAGGTTCTTGAAGATGAGGGCCTTCCGCTTCGTGGTTCATCTTCAGTCGACTCCCTCCCTTCTGAAAATGCCTTAAACCACCGAAAAACCTGAACTCTTGACAAAACAAAGTCTGGAGCAAAACCTGATAGGACACCGTCGCTTGAAATTGATGTCTCATTTGTAGAACACAATAGAAAAAACTTTTTTACAAAAAAACCAGATGACTCGAGCGAGTTCAAACTTGTACTGAAAACGGATCACATGTTTCCCTGTCTGCCTCCAAACCTGGCGCATCCAGTGTTGTCAGATCGAACAAAACGTTTCCAGTCTCATCACTTAATCTACAGAGCTCGTATGTACAAACACATCATTAATATAGAAAATACCACCAAACCATAGTTCATGAAAACTGGATGAATGCTTGGCTGGTGATATTATGAAACAAATGACCACCCTTCAGTTGGCCCACTTCAAGGTTTGTACCAAAATATGGATAATAAACTAAACATGACGAAACTATTTACTTCTAAAACAATTTATTTTTCAAAAACATTTTAGATACACTCTAGTCGTAAAAAATACATATTTGAAATCACTTAGATAACTAATAGAACATCTGAACAAATAAACAATGTGGGAATAAATGCGCGAAGTTAACAAAGCAACAATTGAAAGATTACCATTGGGTAACATCACCTTTATTTTTTATTACGGCTGAAATTCTTTGGGGCATAGTGTTAACCAAGTTTTGGCAAAAATTTGGTGTAAAACAATCCCATATTTCTTGAAGCTTTTGTCTCAGTTCGGTGATTGTACGAGCAGGATGTTGTCGTAGAACCTTTTCATCTCGTGCCACAAAGTTTCAATAGGTGACAGATCTGGACTGCTAGAAACCCATTTCAAAAGTGGTACATTATGTTCTTCCATCCAAAATCTTGGCCGGATATTAAACATTCTTCCACCACTGGTAAAAGCGATTCTTCTAAAATTGCCAAATATTTGTTTGTATCCACATGTTCATCAATAAAATGAAGTTTTCCTACTCCTTTTGATGACATACTGCCCCAGACCATAATGGATGCTGGAAATTTCACTTTTCTCTTCAGACAGTCAACATGGAATGCTTAATTTTTTTGCGAATCACTCTACTGCGACTGTCACCAACACAAACTTCGAATCGGGCCTCATCACTCCATTGTATTGCACACCAATGTTGAGATGTCCATTGTCTATGTTCTTTAGCTAGAATAGTGGCTATTCTTTTTTCCTTCACTTTTTTTTTCAGAAAACTTACCTTGCAAGTGCTAAATCCCAGTTTGTGGGCCTCTCTATGAGTTGTGAACCTCGAAATTCTTCCAACAGCGTCACTCCACAGAGCACTTAATTGTAAATAATTGGCACGCCTGTTTTTCACGATTATTCTTCTTAATGCTCTTTGGTCGGCATTTGTGATATTACTTTTTTTCACATATCGTGGCTTAATATTAACTGGACCAGTTATCTTCTAACAATATTTCTCACACTGTACCGCGATAAGTCTAACAAAGTTGCAATTTCTCAGTTTGATTTCCAGAATTAAAAAATTTAATTATCAGTAACCGAATATTCTCACTAATAACCTTTCCTCTACCCATTTTGAAAACTTTAACTACCCAAAACTATTTTAACCGTATTCTGACAGCTGTGATTAATGAAAACAATTGCCACCTATGCGTTATAGACTTATTTTGCATTGAAATGAAAATAGATTGATATGCTGTAATTGCAACATGTGTTATTTTTATGCTGCAAATTTGATTAGGGAGTGATAAAGTTGGTGTTTTCTACTATATATTATCAAAATATTCATTGTTAATATTTTAAAAATATAACAGCCTGCTACATTTTTATTATTTGTGTTTGATAAGAAACAAACTAAGATTTCAATAGTTGGGTCAACTGAAGTGGGAAGAGGCTCTTAAATGTATTATGCTGTATTATATCAGAAGCGAAAGATCCACTGTTGCCAGATCGAACGCTACGACATCACTTAATGTACAGACCTCGGTTCCTGTTACTACAGGGGACTAGGATCAGGTTTAAGAGAAAAATATTCAATAAAAAAAGAGGATTATTACATCTACTGCAGCATTTACAGTCCATTAACGAGCGTCATTTCACTGTATATGCTAAACAGACTTAAATATCAATACTGATTATTGTTTTTTTACAGAGGACTGGACAGTTCATCATGTAGTACCTGCATCAAATTACTCAAGGAACTGGCCTCGCAAGGTAGGACCATCATTTGTACTATCCATCAACCTTCTGCATCACTCTTCGAACTCTTTGACTTGGTGTACGTACTGTCAGCTGGGAACTGCTTGTACCAAGGATCAGCGCAAAAGTTGGTACCGTTTCTGTCCGATTGTGGATTTCCCTGTCCACAGTACCATAATCCAGCTGACTATGGTGAGTTCTGAGTTCTTCGACATATTTAGTAGGACTTGGACTGATTTCGGAATACGTAAGAAATGATCTCGTACAATTTCATAGAAAGATACATACTTAAAATGTCCTTTAATTAATTTTGGTCAAAAGCTCTCGTGAGCACAAATAGCATATAGTTCAGTTATACTTGATCGTACACTATACCCCATTCGTAGTCAATTTACGCACAGACAAAACACAAGATGCCCAAAAGCGAGATTGTACAGGTCCGTATTTTCCTCAATGGTCTTGGAGTCTAGCACAATAGATGATTATTTTTATAAAAGGAAGTGCATATACTTTTCACAATTCTTTATTCATTGAAGGTACTTGAATCATCGTCCGAATGGTTAATACTAATTATGACAGGTTCAATTTCAATATCAATCGTACTGACAAGACCCCACACCTTTGTTTCGATTGCCTCTTGAACGTGACGGATACAATCTTTCCAATGGTTTGCCGTAACTCTGTTGACAGCTTCATAAAACAAAATTTTCACGTCAGAAAATTTTAATGTTCTATTGTTTGAAGTCACATATTATTGTACATTTGCACAAAAAATATAATTATAAAAATTAATTAAAATCCAAGAAATAAGACATTGTTTGTGGAACTTCTTGAAATTGCCTTGCGATCAACATTTCTCCAGGAGATATTACATACTCTTAACAGACGCAGCAATGTTTTTTATTTTTTATCTATAAAATAAGATGTTACGTTTTTTGGATGTTATACGACATGCACGTCACGAACAACCGTCACTTATTTCCGTCTGTCTGTCGGTATGTTTGTCCGCTAGTCCCTGGAAATCGGTCCAATAATCCAATCTCCAACTATACTAAGTGACAGATAAATCCGAACACCCAGTTTAAATGGTTTTATTTTAATAAAATTTTGTATAAGTACTTAATGAAGCATAATAAGTGAATGATAAAAATTTTAAAATGATTGCACTGCTTTAAAGCTCTTTGACCTTTAATAATATGTGGATGCACCCTGATGTGCTACGCATTCTCCAACGCGCCTAGACATGCTTCTGATCAGGTGGTCAATGTCCTCCTGTGGTATCTCATTCCAGGCAACCACCAACTACTCTCGAAGTGCTTCTAGAGTCTGAGGAGGACATTGCAAATTGAGCAATCTCCTACCCATCATATCCCACACGTGCTCAATTGGGGATAAGTCGGGAGATCTTGATGGCCATGGTAACAATGTATCATCATTATGTTGAAAGAAGTCTATTGTGACTCTTGAAACATGTGGCCGGGCATTATCTTGTTGGAATGTTGGATCTGCCAGGGTGTCAAGACAGGGTAAAAGATGGGGTTCTAGAACTTCGTGGATATAACGCTGCGCGTTCATGTTACCTCTGAAGAAGATTAAAGGTGACCTGGAACCATAAGCTATAGCACCCCAAACCATAACTCCAACAGTGTGATGAACATGTCTTTCAACAAAAAACTGTGGATTCCTCCTTTCACCACGTCGCCTTCTAACCCTGGCACGACCATCGTGCATACCTAAACAAAATCGAGACTCGTCACTAAAGACAATACTGTTCCATTCCTGATCCCAGAGTGACCGTTGTCTGCACCACTCAAGGCGATTACGTCGGTGTTCTCGAGTTAAAGGGAGGACCCAGTGTGGCCGGTATGAAAACAAGCCAAAACTTCTCATTCGTCGGTAAACACTTCGCATGCCAATAGGTCTTCCGTGTTCTGCAAACCATTCATTTGCAATGGACCTGGTAGTGGAGAAACGGTCCCTTAAGGCCAATAATCTTAGGCGGCGATCTTCACGGTCTGTTGTTCTACGGCGTCGTCCAGTGCCCCTTGCTCTTTGCGTACGGCCTTCTCGAAGCCATGCCTGACAACACCTAACCACAGTGTCTACACTTCTTTGCACTCTAACTGCAATTGCCCGAAAAGAAAGTCCAGCTTCCCGAAGTCCCACTATACGGCCCCTATCAAACTTACTAAGTTGACGAAATCGTACAGGTCTCCGTACTCTAGGCATCGTAACCGATCGTAAAGGATGTCAAGAACCAAAATCCGCCAACGTTGATTCTTTACTGCGGCTGAAATATTCATTTTTAGAGCGTTAGTGAATTAAAAAAAAAAGCAGTATAAAAACCGGAATGTCCAACTGATAAGGCTGAAAATTTTTTCACTTGTTATTTACAGTAAGATAAATACATTCACCAACTTTTATTAAAATAAAACCATTTAAACTGGGTGTTCGGATTTATATGTCACTTAGTATAATTGCGTTTGAAACACTCGTGATTATAACAGAAGCCAGACTAATAGTTATTTTTCCTTTTGCAGTGATTGAATTGTCGTGTGGCGAATATGGCGACGACAAAATAGATACCATGATAAGAGCAACTGCTAATGGTACAAATCTATCATACTTCAAAGAGCCAGACAAATTGGCTAAGATTCAGTTAATGAGAGGTACGTACATTTATATTGGTGTTTGACATCGACGATAAGAAGAGCTTCTTCAAGAGGCATTCCAAAGTACAAAGATATTAGAAACATCATATATGTATAGAGGTATCTATGAAGGGAATTTTTGAATATGGTTGAGATTGCCTTTTGACCTAAGTTAAACTTCATGTCATCTGAAAGTTTTTAAAAAATTGTTTAGAATGAGCAATAACACCTTCTTATATTGCCAAACATTACCACTTGACGCTTTTTAATCTACAAGTATTGTTGAAAACTGCTACATCTCTGAATTCCTGCATGTAGAGTGCTATCATCAGCGAAGCTGTGGTTTGGACTGATCGTGCAGGAAAGGAGGTCATTGATATGTAAGAGAAACAATGTCGGAGCCAAGACTGATCCCTGGGGAACACCCGAGTTGACGTTGTGAGATGAAGAGGAGAACCCGTCAATTGCGAGGGATATCTTGCGGCCAGAGATAAAGTCGGCCACCCATCTGCAAAGCTTCTCTGGGGGGCCATAGGATGAAAGTTTGCTTAAGAGGGCAGCGTGCCACAGCTGATCGAACGCTTTCGTGATGTCAAGAGCAACGACATGCGCCTCACCATAAGACTGGATGAGTTTACTCCACAATTGCGTGACGTAAGCTAGGAGGTCTCCTATGGATCGTTGGTGCCGGAAACCATACTGCCTGTCGCTAATGAGGCTGTGACGTTCGAGGTAGTCCAGAAGCTCGCGATTTATGTACCTCTCCACCACCTTACTTATAACAGAAAGCAGAGCTATAGACCCGTAGTTTTTTGGGATGGGTTGGCCATGAGCAAATTTCCAGTTTTCTGGGAAGGTGCCGGATACATAAGATATTTGGAAGAGACGCGAAAGAACTGGAGCAACATCCGCTAAGCACCTCTTCAGTACAATGGCAGGAATCAAGTCCGGACCAGCTTTGTTGATGTCGAGCGACCAGAGCACTCGTCTTACGGTCTTATGCCTGAATGTTACCTCCCGCATAGTGTAGGGAATCCTTTGAATTGACGGCGCTTGGGCGTCCATAGTGGAGTTGGCAACAAGGATCTTGGCTAGCACTTCCGCCTTGGCCTTTGAGTCGAATACAATAGTTCCATCCTGACATGTAAGTGGTGGAAGGCTACTGTGTGAGAAATTCTTTTCAATCTGCATTGCGAACCGCTTTGTTATATTTGTTTCTGGACTCGACGTCGACTTGTCTGTTCTCTACAGTGGGGTATTGTAAGAAGATTCTGTGTGTCTTGAACTTCTGCTGGCGAGCAGTGTCACACGATTTGTTAAACCAGCCCCTGGACCTTAGTTTAGGCACTTTCACTGTATGAGGGATGTATTCCTCCATTTCGATGTGGATAATTTCTGTTATCGAAGAACAGACAACCGACGCATCCACGTCAGTGAAACAGATATCTCTCCAAGGAAAGTTAGAGATGAAGTCTCTGAGCCCCTCCCAGTCGGCATGTCCGTAATGCCAAATTTTGCGGCGTGAGCGAGTTTCTGCTGCCACAGCGGGTTCTAACCGAAACCTAACCTCCACAACATCGTGGTCTGAGTTGCCCAGGGGGGACAGGACAGCAGTGCTGTAAGGGACAGGATGCGTGGTCAGAAAGAGATCCAGCAGGCTTCTGGCATGTGATGAGACGCGGGGAAAAAAAGTAGGGCTCGTCACCAGCTGGGTCAGCCCTTGAGTATGAGCGAACGCTTCAACTGCACGACCTGCTGCATCGGTCTTGTTTGAGCCCAACCAAAGCTCATTATGGGCATTGCAATCACCGAGAAGAACTACCTCTGAAGCGGAATGATTGATGTTCAGGAGGTCGATCTTGACGGCGAGTTCAAGTAGGTCATCCCAGTTACGGTCCGAGGGAGAGCGATAAAGGCAGCAAATAAATTTTTTGTGATGTTTTCCGGTCTGATTCCAATGAAACATCTCTGGAGCAGGGAAGACTGCTGCGGGCAAAAGCCACAACTCCCCCGTTTTTTCTCCGAGATTTTTGTCTCCGCCAAGAGAAGCATGGCGGGACGATTGGATTGCAGATAGTGATGAATAGCATCAATGTTGCTGTTGATCCCGCAGATGTTTTTGAAACGAATTTTATCTTCGATGTTGTTCACTCGAGCCCACCCTCCATCCAGACATTCCGAGAGTGGAAACATTCGGACATTTATAAGACACCCTGGGAAAAGGTAGCGGGTGGTACCGCCTCGGTCGACTGGTCCTTGTCTGCCACCTTCTTTTTACGAGTTAGTGGCCCGTCCATCATACTTTTATGTCGGCTACTTTGGAGACAAAGCGGTTTTACAAAATTTGCATCTGATCGCTTGTCGTAAGATTAACCAGCGTCCTGTATAACATTTGGTCACACAAAAACATTTTATTTTTTTCTCTGAAAAAAGGGAATACAAATTGTAGTTAGGCATGTGTCATATCATACGTTTCATTCAAAATCTCCCATAACAGCAGGAATATACTTTTTTAATTTATTACCTCCGGAGATCAAAAACGTAAACTCCGTAGGGCGTTTCAAAAGACGTTTGCGGAACAAGCTATCGGACTGCGGTTTTTATGACCTAGGTGAATTTGTCACATTCCACAGTGCTTCTGATAGATCTTAACAAATAATTTATTGCCATGTGTGTATCATATGGTTTTTTATGTTCTTATTGTTATTTGTATTTTACTTCCTTTTATCTATATTTTTTAATCTGTATACACCGACTTATCCAATGTCTACAATGTAGATCTAACTGGATCAATAAATGAATCTGAATCTGAATCTGAATCTGTACTTTTTTGAAGATGTAACACAATTTCAGCTGCAGACTCTGGCCAGATTGAAGAAGAAGATGGGGAGCTCGCTGCAACCTCAAAATGGAACCAACTTAAAGTTCTTCTCAGGAGAGGATACATCAAAGCGAAAAGAGACACAGTAAGCATGACAGTTTGATCGTATGAATTAATGCAACGTGCGATAGAGACTGAACGATTTCAAGCTTAATTCCTTTTTAATGATCTTTGGCTTATGAAAAAGTATCGTGTTTTACTCAGCGACAAAATCGTTGAATTGGAAAACTTGCATTGTTTAACGCGTTTAGTTTATACAGGTTGAAAACTTCCAACAAATTATTTATCGATGATTAAAATAAAAAACGGCGAGACACGTCAAAATATTTGTCGAGGATTACAACGTTTTAACCAAAAACTACATCACCCACTTTCACCCTCCGCCCCCCAGGGTCATTCCCTTAAAAATTTCGAATGACCAGAGGTATCGTGTAATAGCTTGTCTGAAAGGTCCTTTATTTTGACGTTTGTTTTTTTAAAATCAGTCGATTCGTTTTCGAGAAAATTGGAAAAATCTTTATTTATCTTAATTTGTTGAGAAAGAAAACAAAAACACACGAAAATATCACTTTTTATTTCAATAAGTGTTCAAATTGTTGCCCGTTAGGATTTGCCCAATTTACAATTCGTTTGTAAGTTAAAACGGAAACTACCAACATAAACAGCAGGAAGATTAGACGTGGCAACAACCAAATAACAACCCGAATTATATCCGCACTCTTTTCATTGAAACAGATATCCTGGGCGAACTGTATTTATTGTTATATGGGCGAAAATCAGGTATTTTTAGTACCTCTTAAGATTATACCGTTTGTGATGCATCTTTGACAGGACCAGATAGTTTTTTGATTTTTAGGGTAAATGAGTAGACAGGTGAGTGACACTATACACAGGGTAGTGACAAACTGAGACGGAAGAGTAAATAAGGTCAATAGTTTTGTATTGAAAATAACCAAATCCTACAATGTGTTCCATTAGTCCAGAGTTCCCCAAACTTTTATGTGTCGTAGACCCCTTGCCTTGTTTTTCCGTGTTGGGTAGACGCCCTACTTACCTGATATTGATTCCCTGTAAATTTCTAACTGTAGTGAAGTTTATTGTTAAAAACTTAAAGTAAAAACACATGTTAATTTATACATTTATTAATTGAATTTAAATTGAAACTACTCAAAATAAAATTTTGTATCTGTTATGTAACATTAAATAAACAGGTGTCTGACCAATAAGTGCCCACAATGGGAATAAGTGCCCGCATTGAAAAAAAATAAGAGGGATAAAGTGAAAAATAATAAAAAAAAAGTTTTTTACTCATAATAGTACAAAAAGCGAGTTCGTTTATTAATTATAACATAAACGTATGTTCTACAATAATTTCACTGTTAATTTGATTAAATTTCGCTTCTTATACGTTTAAGTTATCTAAAAAATAGGCAAAAAATTAACGAATTTTAGTGTGTACCTATCATTGAATTTTCAGAATAATTTAAAAAAAAAATATTTTCTATAAAGGGGGGTTCTTAAAAAAAATCAATGCGGGCACTTATTCCCAATGCGGGCATTTATTGGTCAGACACCAATAAACATAAAATAAACTATAAATAAAATAACATAAGCAATAAGTCAATATTTTTAGTGAGAAGGATGAACCTGATGCTTGAATAATAAATTATCAACATTTGGCGTCAATTTTGTAAGGGTTAATCTTAAATCTCCTCGGCTAATGATGTCCACTCTGTTTCTTTTTTTCGTTAGGAGATTGGTAACAGCGCTGAACCCCCTTTCCACTAGGTATGACGATGGAAAGGAAATTAAAAATTTCCTCGCTATATTCCATAATACGGGATAAGTAACGGGTATGTTGTTTTGCCGCCAGAATTGCTGATATCCGTTTTTAAACCGAACCTTAAGTTCTTCGTTTGTACTTAGGTCAGTCAGTTCCTCTTGTATAATGACATTCGTTTCTTCTATGTCACCATATGGATTAATTATCCACGGTGGTATTACCATAGTCAAAATATCCTCAAACCTAGATTCAAAATCTGAATAGAGGGCATTTAAATGTTGAACGTAAGTTGAAACGTCGTCTTCCTGGCAGCTTGTCTGTGACAAATTGGGGAACTGAGAAAATTCGCCCCGTCCAATATTTTGCTTCATTAGTTTAACCCTGGCAAGAAACCCTGATAAGATGGACTTTGTTTTAATCAAATTCAGACTGTCGCCTTGTAATTGCAAATTAACCATATTAAGTTTTGTAAACAAATCTGTTAAATAGGCGATGTCTATCTTCCTCTTCATTAAATTTTCTTTTAAAATTTTATCTTTAGTATCCAGAAATTCTAAAATAGTCTCAAAAAGTGCAAAAAATCTTGTCAAACCTAAGCCTTTCGACAGCCAGCGTACTTCAGTGTGAAGGAGTAATTGATGAAAGTGTTCGTCATTTTCTTCACACAACTGCGCAAGTAACCGCGTATTCAACGCGTTGCTTCGGATTCGGTTTACTGCATCAATGACTAAATGAAGTGATTGATGCAATCTAACACTCAAATGTTTAGCAACTAAACGTTGTCGTTGGATGACGCACCCTGACACATTTTGTTTTAAATAGCTTATAAATCCAAGATAACGTCCAACCATGGCAGGTGCTCCATCTGTAACTACTGATATTATATTTGATAAAGGAATTGCTTTTTCAATGAAGTAATCCTTCAAAACATGAAATATTGATTCACCTGTAGTGTCGGTTATCAAAGTTCTTGCGAAGAGCAGTTCTTCGTAGATTTCTTGATTCATAATAAAGCGAACATATGCCAATAATAATGCCGTATTATCAGGTAAAGTTGACTCGTCCAGTCGTATAGAGAAATGGGTCGTTTGCAAATAATTACATAAGAAGCTTTAAATATCAGAACTCATTTCATCAATACGTCTTTCAACAGTATTGTTGCTTAAGGGAATGCTTTTAATGATATCAGATGCAGGTTTGTGTAAAACAGTTTTTAAAACCATCATCAATTCTTTGTGACGTCGAAGCGAACATTCTGTCCAGTGTAGGTCTCTTCTGAAATTTATCTTTGAGTGTTTGAAAGTATTTCAAATCTTTCTCTGTTTTATCAGGATAGCATCTTCTCAGATGATCTTGCAGTTTAGATGGTTTCATAGCATCATTGCCCAAAACTTTGTTGCATGAAAGGCACATAGGCGATTGTTTGTCCGGCAATGATGGAATGAAGCCAAATTTCAAATAATCAACACTGTACTGTCTACATTTCTTTTTAGATTAGGACATAGCATCAGTCATCTGTGGGTAAAATTAAATTATTTAAATAAGACAGAAAATCCAGCAGCTGTACATTAAAAATATTTTTTGATTTTTCCGAAAACATTCCATAATTCGAACATCTTGCAACAATTAGCTCGAATTGCGAAGATTGCACTGTAATTATATTACCGATTGCTAAAACTTTCAAAAAGAAACTATTGAGGAGTACTCGTGTAATTTTGCATGATTGAATATTTTAACTACTAATAACTAAAGTCATGATTGACGTAATTTATTTATCTTTGCTAACTACGAGTACAAAAATTTAATAAAAAATAATTTACTTACTTTTCTCCAGCACTCTCAAACAAAATAACACCGACTCACTATAATTTGTGTGATATACTATCTGTTTATATTTTTTTAAATATTTTCTTAGCACTTTCCTTTTCAAGATTCTGGAAACGAATAAACGTATTTCTCCCACATTCGTATTTATAGAGTGACGAATTGAACAAGTCAGTGCAAGGTAGCGAAGCTCTGAGACTGCGACTCTCAGGTTTTTACATGATGTAAGTAAATAGGTACTATCAGTGTATGTCTTGAGATCGACTATCGTGGACCCCCATATTCATTTCATGGACCCCCAAATTTTTTTTCGCTGACGTAGACCCCTTGCAGGTTGTCATGGACCCCTAGAGGTCGATATAGACCACTTTGGGAATCAGTGCATTAGTCTCTTAAAGAATAACATTTGGATCAACTGAGCGAACTCTGCTCACACAGGAACTAATGTGAATAAATACCACTATAGCTGTTTATATCTTGCAATGTAGGTACTTGGTTACTTCTCAAAAACGGCAGTCTTCTGAACACATAAACCATTCATTATAAAAACTTAAAACAAAAAATTGTCGTAATACCTATGGTCAGTCTTTGAATCGAAATCAGCGCTTATAAATAAAAAACGGTAGCTAGCATAAAAATAAAATTAACATATAACCCGATTTTTTATGAATTCGAGTAGATACTCATTTTTCGAATACAGGTATAGGAGTTCTGAATTTATAAAATAATCTATTTCCACTCATCACTATATTTGGCACCGGCAGTTTTTCTAATACTTGTTCCAATTTTACGTCGGAAATGTCATTATCATCTAATTTAAAAGGATGGCCATCACTATCGCAGATCTTTAAGAAAGTCACTTGGATCTCCTCATTCTCTTCATCAAAACCTGATGAGCACACACCGGCATATCTGAATCCTTTGTGTTTGTGTTCATACTTAACAAGAATAAAATCACCACTTTTATATTTGCCATCAGTCGATTTTGAGCAAGATGGACCATCTACATTGCGGCTGCTACTCTTATACACATTGGTGGCACTTTGGTGTGTATTATTTTTATCATCAGAATCAGTAAACATTTCAAAAATGCTCATTTTGTTACACGTTTGTTGCTGATAATTAACTTCACCAATGTTGAAGTGACTACACATACTGCTACAAAAGCGACTTAGCCTCTTCATTAATATCTTACGGCGTAGAAAAGCATTTCCCCGTATTTGGTGTACTTTTAATGTATGTTTGATCAGAAATTACAAACGTTTTAATACCAGAGCAGTGCTCTTCTAAAGCTTTGTCGAATGCTTCAATTCTTCCATAAGCCACAAGTTTATATGCAGTGCGTTTGCATGTTCCTCTTAAACAATCTGGAGCACCTTTCCCATGACCTTGCTTTTGTAGAAAGGAATACCCAGTAACGTATGGGCAGGCATTTTAAGAAACAGTGATTGGGCCATTGTTTATTCATGGAAATTTGAATGGAGACATTTATTTGGATATGTTGGAAAATCCGCTAATCACTGAAACCATTGAAAACCAAATCGAAGAGAATGGAAACCCTATGAGGCTGAAATATATTTAACAGCGCTCCTACTCACTAGGTTCTTCCAGTTCGGGAATGGCCAGTTCGGGAATGGCTAGAAGACGAGTTTCCAGATAAATGGATAGGGCGAAGAGCGCCTATAGAATGGCCTGCTAGATCTCCTGATTTTACGCCATTAGACTTTTTTGTGTGGGTCCATTTGAAATCTCTTGTGTTTACTCCCCAACCTGAAAGTTTGCATAAACTTCGTCAATGCATCATCGCCAATATCATTGCTTGGAAAACAACGGGCAACATTTTGAGCACTTATTGAAATAAAAAGTGATAGTTTCGTGTGTTTTCGTTTTCTATCTGAACGAAGTAAGATAAATCCATGGTAGGAAGTTTTCAAAGGAACACCCTGCATATACCGTTACACCGAGATTCAAAAACATTTTGAGCCTTAAATCATCGTATCAGAACTTTAGACAATACTTTCCGCACTACAAATTTACTCGCTTGGTATCATTTGGCGTTTGCGTATTTAACGATTCCCAATGAAACAAAGGCCTCGCCAATTTTTATCCACAATAATGCCGTTTTGACTTATAACGTTCTATTTATTTCAATTTGTACATGTTGACAGCTTGTTTGTTGATTTCAGACGCTCACCTACTTGAAAATAGGGGCGAACATCATCGTAGGAGCCATGCTAGGAACACTGTACTTCAAGGCGGGTATTGATGGCTCGAAAACTTTAGGAAACTATAATTTGCTCTTCTCTATCCTCATGCACCACATGATGTCAACGATGATGCTCACAATTCTTACATGTAAGCAGACTATATAAATCTTCAAGTAATTTGACTCATTTCAAAGTGATGTTTTTTCTGAGTTTATACTCCCAGGCTTCTAAAAGAGATAACAGTGACTAGTTCTCGTATTACATCCACAATGCATCTTCTAGATTTTCGATTCTTTTATTATTGATCTGTATGTATGTCGTGATGATTCAAAATTTCTCATTGCAGTTCCAAGTGAATTGTCCATATTAATCAAGGAGCACTTCAATCGATGGTACTCACTGAAAATGTATTACTTATCGGTGACCTTGGTGGATTTACCTTTATCCGTAAGTACTAAAAAGAATATACCATACAATCATTTATACTATATAGTAAGTTTATTTGATCATTCTATTGCTAATTTGGTCAAACAGTTCCCTATGTGTATTGAATGTATCAAACATGTTATAACGGGTGATTTTTCAAGAGGTATAGGATTGGATTTTCAAAAAAAAAACACAAAAAATTTGAAAAAACGATTAAATCTTTATTTGAGTCGATAGAACGGTCGATATAATTTAATGTTTAAAGATTATTTCATGTAAATGTTGGCCGCGGCTCCGCTTTAGATGGCCCATGCGCAAGGTCCAATTTTGGCACACTCTCTCCAACATATCGGCCGGTATCTCACGAATAAATGCTTCAATATTGGCTTCCAGTGCGTCAGTCGTTGCTGGTTTATCCCTGTAGACATTAGCCTTAACATGGCCCCACAAGAAATAGTTAAATCACACGATCTAGGCGGTCAATTGACGGGCCCCAAACGTGAGATAAACTGTTCACCGAACTCGCCTCTCAATAGGGCCATTGTTTCGTGTGCGGTGTGGCATGTGGCACCGCCTTGTTGAAACCACATGTCAGCCAAGTCCAGCTCTTCCATTTTGGGCAAAAAAAAGTTTGTTATCATCGCACGGTAGCGCTCGCCATTCACAGTTACGTTCCGGCCATTGTCGTCTTTGAAGAAGTACGGCCCGATGATGCCACCGGCCCATAATCTACACCAAACAGTGATTTTTTCGGGATGCATTGGTAGCTCTTGCAATGCTTCTGGCTGGTCTCCATTCCAGATGCGGCAATTTTGCTTGTTAACATACCCATTCAACCAGAAATGAGCTTCGTCGCTGAACACAATTTTTCGATAAAAATGTGGATCTTCCTCCAACTTTGCCAGCGCCCATTCACCAAATGCGAAACGTTGTGGGAGGTCGTGTGGCTTCAACTTTTGCACCAGCTGTATCTTAAAAGGTTTTACACCCAAATCCTGTCGCAAAATTTTCCACGTAGTGGAGTAACAGAGGCCGAATTGCTGCGAACGGCGGCGAATCGACATTTCACGGTTATCACTAACACTGGCGGATACAGCCGCAATATTTTCTTCAGTCCTCACTCTACGTCTGCGTGTTTGTCCAATAATGTAAACTGGGTTCGAAATTTAGTCACAAGCTTCCGAATAGCTCCCTCAGTAGGCCGACCAAATTGCCCATAAATTGGAAGCAGTGCTCGATGCACTCTTAACCGAGCTAGAATTTTGATAGTAAAATTCAATAATTTGCAAGCGTTTTTCGTTCGTAAGTCGATTCATGGTTAAATTATAGACCAAGCTGAACAAGTTTGACAATGACACAAGACACGATTCCCGCGTCATCTGTCAAAAACAGTGTTGCCAAAAAGATACTAGAAAAAAAATCACCCATTATTTGTCTAGTAACTTGAAAAGTGTTTGATCACTAGAAAAATACTCCATAAATCAGAGTCTCATTTGAATTATTTCATCATTAGTTTTTTATCTGCCTTTTCAGACACTCTGCTGCTTCCTGTTCACAATAATACTGTATACAATGACATCACAGCCAATGGAGTTGCTAAGATTCAGCATGTTCTTCCTCATCAGCCTTTTAGTTGTTTTTGTGGCCAACGGTTTCGGTCTGTCAATTGGTGCATATTTCAATGTAGTGGTAAGTACTGCTCGAACTTTTTTACTTTTATGATTTTCAGGGTGCACTTACGTTATTTCCTCGAAAACAATTGGGAGAAGTTGAAGGCCACTTAGGTCTGCTTGTAACTTTTTTCATTTAGTAATGTTAGAAGCTCAGAATTTTTCAACATATCATTCAGTTTATTTTTTTACAGAACGGCACATTTTTGGGACCCATTCTGTCAATTCCCATGATGATGTTTGCAGGGTTTGGTGTTCGACTTTGCGATCTTCCCAGGTAAGAGCAATGTCATGAGACAATGTGATTTGCTTTATAAGCAATTTTATTTACGTTTGTTTCTAAATGTTGGTCGCTGTAATCAGTTATATATAGTTGTATCTATTGGACATCGCTCAATTGTAATACACAAGAGAAAAAGCAACATTTTTGAAAAAGTATAGAGGAAATACATATGGATATTGGAATTCAGGGAATTGGTTTAAATCCTGAATGCCTGAGGTCGGCACTGTAAATCATTGTGTCGTTTTAACTAAAAAGAAAGAAAAAACAAGACAGACAATGCGTATAAAATTAGAGAGAGGGAGAGATAAGAGATGACTCCGAAAACATGCCGTCCACAGAACAGCTAATGTGGTGTCTAAAGGTGGTTGTTCTCATTTAGTCGGAAATAAATGCGTTAATACCAGATAGACATTCCTTTTTGGATTAACTAATAACAATAATGGACATCTCTATTTATCAACAATTACATAGTAGTGTAGCCAAATGTGTGACATATGGCGAAGTTTAGCTTGCTGCTAGTCTTACACTTAGCGATATACAGGGTGTACACGTTAGGATAGTCATTATTTAAAAGGGTGATAGAGGTTGTAAAAAGAAGCAAAAAGTTTCATATAACATGGGGGTCAAAACGGCATTTTTTTAGAGAAAAGTGACTTTAAAGTAAAATGAAATTTGACAACGCCGCAATGCCAGACGTGAATTACGACGGAACGCAGTGTAAATAAAGATGGAGTTTGTTATTCTCGGCTCTTAGGTATTATTTCATTATTTGATAATGTACTCGTAAAATGCAAATAATTAAAAAACGGACTTACCACTAACTGACTCAGCGCTTCACCTGGTGTGTGAAAGTTTATTGATCGAATTAAAAAATTCCACTTATAAATCGGGAACACAATTTTGATACATACATTATTTCTCTTTTTAAAACCCACACTGCACTTTTTTGTATTTAAAGAAGGTGTCCAAAATGTCGTCCTCCACTTTCCACATAAGCTTCATTACAACGAACTCAGTTTCTTCTTACTCTAGGCCCACGAAGTTGTCCATTTATTTTTTCAGCCGCATTAAATTTTTTTCACGAAGTTGTGCTTCAGTTGTTATTGGACCAGCCCCATAAATCATTCCTTTAAGTTCTCCCCCATACCAGAAATCCATCGGATTGAGGTCAGGAGATCTTGCTGGCCATTTTCGAGGATCAGGAGCATTTCCACCGATCCAGCGATTTGGATAATGTTCATTCAAATACTGAATGACGCCTCTAAAAATGTGTGGTGGTGCCCCGTCATGAAGAAACCACAAATGCTGTCTCCGTTGTAATGACGTGTTGTCTAAGGTCTGTTCCAAAAGTTCTGGCAGGTTATTGGCTAGAAAGCTAAGGTATCCTTCTTCTGACAACTTTGGGGATAACTCGAAAGGGCCAATTATTACCTGATCGTCAAGAATACCCGTCCAAATATTTATTTTAAAACGTTATTGGAAATGACCTTAACGAATGGTATGAGGATTTTCTTGGATCCACGAGTGAGTATTATGGAAATTTAATATCCCGCCTCACGCGTAAAAGTACATTCAGTCGTCTAAATGCAAAACCCGACAAGTCCATTTGAAGGAATTTTAGGGAAATCGCAAAAAACGTTTATAACGTCTATTTGTCTTAACAGAAACCAGCAAATTGAAACAAAATTTTATCAAAAAAAATGTGTAACGAAAAACTGGTTCCCAAACATATTTATGTTATAATTAATAATTACTTAAATTAAGATTAAAGTTTGGACTTGTCGAGTTTTGCATATAAAACATGGTGACTTGTCGGGTTTTGGTTATTAACTTTGGCTAAAATAAGGCGAATCGGCAAAACACGAACAAACTTTTGGATTATTTTATTACAAAGTAGTATTAAGAAAATGCACATTCCAAACAACATAAAATTTGTGTTTTCTAAATATCAAAATCTAAAGTTTCTTCTAAACAAAACAACTCTGTATTGGCCTCATTACCATCTCGTGAGGTTGAAGTGGATGGGAGAGGAAGTTCATCGAAGGCACTTTTGAAAAATGATAAGGCTTCATCATTTCGCCAATTACTTCCGTAAGGTTTTGCAATCAAATTACTGATACTCTTCTTCTTATCCGATTTCAATGGCATTCCAATGTCTACAGTGCTTGGTTTGATGTCCAACTTTCTTTCTCTCCTCAGCAGCGACTGGTTGGTGCCCATGTCATTCTTATAGAAACTTTCACCTCTTACTGCATAACCGGTTTCAGTTTTTGAAATTATGATGCGTTTGGGCACTTGCAACTTGAAATGCCAATGTGATGTTGGTTTCATAACTATCTGAACTTTTGACTTCCAGTCCTGTACAGGAACATCAACTCCCAACTTGTAGATGCTTCCCCACTTCTCTATTACTTTCATGTATTGTTCTGGACTTGTAATTTCAGGTGACTTTTTAATAACCTTCTCAATTTGTCCAAATAGCCTATCTGGTGGAATATAGGAATGCCCCACAACCGGAAAAAATATTTTAATTTTGTCTATGTTGGGGGTACTGCACTTTAATAACCAATGGGATAAGATCCCAATGACGATGGAGTTCTTATTTTGCGCACCGCAACCATCACAAAAAAGGCGAACGACTTTAGTAGATTCGCTAAATTTAATTGTGCTGAGTATGATATAATGCTGATGCTATTTCATTGGATCCCCTTTCATGATCTAGTTCAGTCCATACATAGGAATTGACTGAAGTTGGACTTATTTTTCCTTTAGAAGTCCCCTGTACATTTGCAAAGTGATAAAAGTTTAGCTGCATACTGAAGTAGGCTGCTTGACCTGCGATTTTTGGCAGAGCCAGGTTTTTTTGACAATCAAAGCTGAATGTAACAACCTCATTGTCAGCACGGACTTCTTTCAAAAGCTCATAGAAGCACTTTGCTCGGATTTTGTGAGCTCGCTGTTGAGCCATTAATCGATTCTTTGTGTTGATATCTAATGACTTTTTTATTTGGTCTTGAAACTGCAGGCATGTTGAACACATGTCGGTTTTAGGAGTACCAAAGCCAACATTGTATTTTCTGGTGAAAAAGTATCTGAAAAATGACTCCTTAACCTGAAGATCTTTGTCCACGGTATTGTTAAACATTCTCCAGAGTTTCCAGATATTTAGTTCTGTAGGCAAATAAATTCTACTGAATGTCTTAGATCGGCAATAATGAGACTCTATGCACTTCAGTGATTCAACAAACTCTTTTATAGCCGCTCGCTTTGTGTTATTTTTACGTTTTGTCCGATCACCTCCACGTCGTTCTTTGGGCATTTCATTGCTTTCCTTGTACCGTTTTACTACATTCAAAATCCTGTCTTTCTTCACTCCCAGAATGTTCATGAAACTCTGTCTGCACACATTAACCATTAGCCCATCTCTTCTTTTCACATAGTATTTCACTGACATAGATTTCGGCTTATTTTTTTCTTGTTCTCGTTTTCTTGATCTTTTGGGATCAGTAACGCTGCAGTGCTTCAATATAAAATTGTCCTGGGTGATTTTCTCTGATGTTTTGTAAAATGAGTCATAAAACATTTTTATATCTCTCATGGTCAGCAGTGATATACATTGAAAGGGCTTACCTACATGCCCACATTTTGGAAATGTTGGCAATAATTTTGCAGAATATCTAGAAAAATACATACAAATAAATTACTATTGCTACCGCGTAACAAGTATCTATTAGCTTACCTGTTGCGTTTTGCATTTTCCCGCTTAGACGGCGTTTTAACTTTCTTTCGAGATCTATTACCTTCCGATGGTAGTATAACGTATTATATTTTTTCGCAATGCAATTCACTCATATTTTAGGCTAAAATACCATCAAACTAGATCGCACAACCTTAATCATTCGAGACTCAATGCAAAATAAACATGTGCATGCAAGTCAGGGCGACAATGGACATGTCGGTATTTGAATTGAAACGACGCGTGGACATGTCGGCTTTTGCATTTCAAGGGAATTTTCTGTATTAAAAATAGCGTGTTAGAAGTCGGGTTTCGCCCTAAAAATATTGCATAGTTTGTAGCCCTTTAGATAAAGAATTCAATGGTGTATAAAACTGAAATTCCAAAATGTTGTGACTTGTCGGGTTTTGCATTTAGACGACCGATTTGTCCGTCGCTAGAATGTTTTTTAAAAAATTGGGATTAAACATGACGACGTACGCGAACAAAAACAAAACAACATACTAACCACTGTTACCGTTTGCGATAGATTGCCGGTTCGATAAGAGTAATAAGAGACCGACGCGCTGTTGTCATGTGTGTTTTAAATATTTAATTTACTGAAACTTACTTACTGACTACAAATTTTGGCTTAACTTAGAAAAACTTAATGTCATTTATTTGTTAATTACCCAATTTAAAAATGTTTTAAATTAGATTATAAAAATTAGTAAGATTGTGGTGATTGTGGTCGATATGAAGCACTTAAAGTTGTAAACTATAAAGCCATTTAGACAAAAATCTGTTGACCTTTGGACCATGGGTCATATGAACTTTTTGACTTATTTTGACCCCCCCCTATTACCCATTTCAATAATGACTACCATAACGTTTACACCCTGTATATCACTCCATTGTGTCTATTAATAACGTATCTATGTTTCAGTATCTTATTATGTGTATTGTATATACACTTATGTACGAAATAGTTTTTTTTCGTATACTATATATGCCAATTTTTTTCTCACTTCAGATACATGTACTGGGGCAGCTACATTTCCTACCTACGTTTTGGTTTAGAAGGAATAGTACAAGCAATATACGGCATGGATCGAGGCGTAGTCGATTGTCCAGACGCCGAAATGTACTGTCATCACAAATACGTCAAGAAGTTGCTCAAAGATGTTGGTGTTAGGGCTGATCAGTTTGACAATGATGTTATAGCCCTATTACTCTTTACTTTTGTACTCCGGATAACTGCGTACGTCGTGCTTAGATATAAGCTTATATCTATCCGTTGAAAATGTGTATACTTATATTGTTGATAGAAAATAGTCATTGAAGGCTGATCACAGAAATGTTGCTGTGTCGGTATGTGTATATAAATTGCTGTGAACTTCTAGAGGTGCCAAAACTTTTTATGAATTACGAAATTGTATATTTATGTTTCATTGGAGCATGTTCCTCCATTATATAATTTATGATAACTAGATTTCATTTTCCATTCTAATTCACGGTTAAAGAAACTGAATCACAATAACTAATTTATCATTTGGATATTGCGCTGCATAAGATATTTCATATTCAGAGAAATCCAAATATCACTGTCGAGGTGATGTGTACAAAAGAGCATCAAGCCGCTGTTGCGTCCGTGTCCTGGTCACTCCGGTTGCTAGGCAACTTGATGCTTCTATCTCTTTCTAACACAAGTATTGCACGCTCCTCTCGTACAAATTACGACGTCAGTGGTATATGGATTTCTCTGTATATGGGTGACGAGGCGATTTAAACAGCGTTCTGCCACACCAGTAAATTTATATTTTTGGTATACTGTAATTTCTAAGAATTAGATCTACTACCGGTTCAACGCCAGAGCTCAATTTTTTGTTGATGCTTTCACTATTTTGAAAGAGGTCCAATCCAAAGTCGTATTTATGATCTTCAGTTACAAATCAGTGGAATCTGTAGTGCACAAGATTCCGGACAATACAAAAATGCATGTGATATCATATCCAAATCAAAGGATTATTGTAGACTGTCAGTGATATAGTTAGTATTTATACAGGGTATACAATTATTACTATAATAGTCTAGGTTATAAATTTTTTGATGAACAACACATTGTAGTTAATATAATACGTTATAGCACTACTGTTCAGTATAACCATCTTGATTGTTCCCGCCTTTCTCGAGAAACATTCGTTCTACAATATTATGAGAAAAAACACTAAAAGTACCACATATTATGAATATATGATTTATCCAGTGGATAAAAAATTTTAACAGAATTGTTTGCAATATATAACTCTTGTGCTAGGTATGGTATGATGGTTGTTCTATGTGCAATTTGCAAGATTCTTATTGTATTTATTTGTTCATTTTTAAATGTCGCGTATATTAATCACGATTTTTTGGGTTTTTAATTGTACTATAAAACTGTATGAACACATTGTTATAAAATAGATTTGATTATTATAATCTACCTTGTAAATAAATGTCTTTGAAGCCCGTTGAAACTGTTTTTTTTTATCAGTACATTTTAAATTTATTTATTAAAAGCTGTTGAAAATTGGTGGTTCTTCATGTGATATCGATAGAGAGACACTGATAAGGTGATAAGGTAGGTAGAGGTGTCTTAAAAAGTCGACGACATGCGCGGATTTAAATCTGTGGAGACGCAGATGCGTCACAATACAAGTATTGCTGAAAACATAACTGATTCTAGGTCTGCTGTATGCCCGTTAAATAATTTCAGTGATCTTTGTCACACTTCTATTTCTTAAATAATTTGGTATGTTAATGACTTCAGTGACATATAAGTGTCCAATAAGTATCACGACAAACTTAAGGAGAAAGTAGGCTTTGGACTGACCTTACAAATAACAAAGACTTACCGGTCAAAGGTACTCAAAAAAATTGCACCTGAAATTAGAAAACCACAAGCATTTTTAACAAATTTGATAATTAAATCTGGGGTTTTCCGAGACCCTTACAAAATAGGAATAATTGCACCGATTCATAAATCTGGCGACATATCTAATACCAGCAACTATAGACCAATAACATTAATATCTAACTTGGCAAAGATAGTTGAAAAATTTTTTCAACAAAAATAAGCTTATCATAAAAATCAATTTGGATTTCAAAAAAAATAAATCCACTCAAGACTTGATTTCTTTCTTGACTTAAAAAATTCATAAATTATTAGAGCAAAGTAAATATTCATTATGCATATTCTTAGACCTAGCAAAAGCGTTCGATACGGTGGATCACACGCAGCTATTATAAACTGGATGCAGGAATTAGAGGAAACGCTCAAAACCTTATGAGAAGTTACCTGTCTTACAGAAAACAATATGTTCAAATAAATGATTCCACAAGTTCAGAAAAAACTGTGACTTATGGTATACCACAAAAGACAGTTTTAGGCCCGTTATTTTTTACTGTGTATATGAATAGCCTACTTAGCTTGAAGTCGCAAGGCACAATAACATGTTTTGCAGTTGACACAGCGATACTTTATTCCAATAACAATTACTGGGATAGCCTTAAAGAGACTATTGAAAATGATATTATTTTAATTTCCGACAAATATCTAATAATCAATTTTCAGAAAACCATGTATATGCCGTTCACAAACCTTAAAAATAAATTGCCGTCATTTACCTCTTTACGAATTAAATGTGACAGTACAAGTGCTCTCATACATTCAGCTAATAAAACAAAATATTTAGGTGTTCATTTGGATCTTCATTTAAAGTGGAATTTCCATGTTGATCATATAGTAACTAATTTAAGACGATTATTATTTAAATTCAAGTACCTCACTAAATATCTAGACCTTGAAACAATGAAGATGTTATACCATGCACTTATTGAATGTCACCTAAATTATGCCATTCTAGCTTGGGGTGGTGCTCTTACCAACCAAATTAGGAAGCTAGAAATAATCCAAAAACAATTTTTAAAAATTATTTTTAAACGGCTAATTCTAACTCCATCTGATATGTTATATTCCGAAGCGAGACTACTCGATCTTAGGCAACTCAATGTTGTAATCAATTTATTCAAAAATTAAACAAACCTCAGTTCATTGGACAACAAATATGAAACAAGAAGTAAAGTCGAGGATATTAAAAGAACACCATTTACAAAAAAAGGAAGGTCAAAGATGCTTCAATTACCTCTCCACTAGATTTTATAACTTTTTACCAAGCCATATAAAATTCATTTCAAATGAAAATAGATTCAAAATTGAAATAAAAAAAATCTTGTTAAATAATAATCGACATGAAATAGCAACTCACTCAAATGAAAATAAATTAGTTTTTGAATATAATGTTATTACACTTACCTTTATGGTTATGTTATGTTTAAATTTATGTATTAACTACATTTAACTATATTTAAAGCAAAAATTGTTATGAAAAATGTTTTCCCACGCACAAGAATAAATTCTTCTCTGCGAGTATTTCAGTTTATTTGCGTATATATATTTATTTTCCATAAACTGTAATAATACTTTATACGTGAAAAAAGTTATATTATTATTATTATTATAAAAGTGTCACCGTTCTTGAGATATTGAATTTTTTCTTAATTAAAAAAAAAACGAACCTTTTCATGTGTGGTCTTTAGCTGCATGTATAGATAAGGTTATACTTTGTTCATTTTTTCTATAAAATACTTCTAGGTAGTTGCGTTATCAAATACAAATGCAATGTAGTTAAAAGATATTAAGGAACCATGATCAGATAAGGACTATTTTGGGATTTATAACCTTCGGACATTTTTTCCTCAACTTTGGCCATCTGTGGTGAAACAAAAATGTACTGGGCTATAACTGCATTATATTGAATAAAAAGATTGCTCATTGAATATAGATTTCAGAAAGGCACCACACGTACTATTTGGAATAGAAAAAAGTGATAGCTGCTTTTGTAAGTGACTGACACACACTACAATGTAATTATTGGTTTTAAATTCAAGTTGCACTGGTTACCGATCAGTGCCATGCTAAATAGTACAAAGCTACATTATTATTACCTGCTCCTTATATGATTTTATGAAAGTTGAGGAAACAATATCAGAAGGTTATGAATCCCAAAACAGTCCTTATTTTATCATGGGTCCTTAATATCTTTTAACTACATTGCATTTGTATATGATAAAGCAACTATCTAGAAGTATTTTATAGCAAAAATAAACAAAGTATAACCTTATTTGTACATGCAGCTAAATACCACAGATGAAAAGGTTCGTTTTTTTAAATTTAAGAAAAAATTCAATATCTCAAAAAACGGTGTCACTTTTATATAGGTAAGTTTTTGTTATTTGGTTGGTCAGTCCAAAGCCTACCTTCTCCTTAAGTTTGTCGTGATACTTATACCCTGTATATATATATATATATATATATATATATATATATATATTTTCATGTAATTACGTGTGATTTGAACTTGTATGTATTTTTATCTTCTGAATGTGTCTGTTTTGTTTTATTCATCCACTTTTTGTGCACTGTAAGTTTTTGTTTTTTTTTTACGAATGCGAGTGCTTTTGCATGCCCAACATCAATAAATATCATTATTATTATATATTGATTCCCAAAAGGGCTCGGCAATCGGTATATCTTGGTCGCTGAATTGCTGCTAGTGATTCATCCATTCATGAATCAGATAATTTGACATGTCATTCAATTTGGCATACATAAAATGAAAAATCTTATCAAAGTTACACGTATAGACAAAAAATGGCGACACTGTCCACAGTTTGCAGACGGGTGGGTCGTCCGTAGCCCTGGCGCAAGGGTCATTAGTACCTATAACACTCCCTGTAAACTTTTATGGTACACGACCCACTTTTAGGGAAAGCTCTTTGGTAGAAGGCATGCAGAAAAAACGAAATAGATAATTATAACAAAATAATCATTATTTTGTAAAAAAAGATACATGTATAAACAAAATTCCACAATTACATTATGACTACAGAGTAGCTCTAACTCCTTCTTCTCTCTCTGTCATCCCTACCCCTATGATTCCTTTCTTTTTCTTCATTTATCCTTTGTCGTACCCTCTCCTTTTCCCTAGTTCCAGATCTCGATCTTCTCCTAGATGATCTTTCAAATACCTTTTTTGGTCTCTCAATTGTTGGATGTTGTCCTCATGCCTACTTTTTACCCATCCATAATCCTTTCTGGGTTTTGGAGGATCAGCATCTTTTCGCTTATCTCTTGAATTCGAATCTTCTTCACTTCTTTTACTTACATGCTTCCGAGTTTCATTTTTCTTATCTCTACTTTTGTGCTCTTTATCTTTCTTTCGGTGCCTTTCTTCAGGCGTAGGCGATTTCCTTTTACCCTCCTTATTCGTCGTTTTCTTCTTCTTCTTTGTATTCTCCTCTTCTGAGCTGGATGACTCTGCAAGAGATCGGTAGAATTAAAGATCATACATAATTATTATCAAAATCTTAATCAAAATTGATGGAAGTAGCTTTTCTTGACCAACGTACTGGCTTTCCACATTATGGACGTGGTCCAAATCCGTATAAGTTGATAGTACTAATTCTTATCCAATCAAGTTTTACCCAATATACATTGTCTCAGTAAAATAATAAAGTAAAAAATGCTGATTTTAGTTCAACTCATATTAAATGCATAATCTTTTTCCACATGATACATAGTACACTGCGAATTTATAAAAGTGATCTGAATCATTCGCTGCTTTGTCCCACCATTGTCTAACACCACATTTAGCTGCAAACACTCGCATTTTTAAAAATGACAATTAAAAATGACGTCAAGTACTCTGACTCTATACCTCCGATGTCTGCGTTAGGGGTTTCAAAGAAAAGGGATTAGTCAAGTAGTTTCAAGAGGCGGAATCTAATCGTGACTAGGTTGGTACACTTAGGTAGGTACGATGATCAAATATATAAAGAGATTTCTGTTTCAATAGCAGATGTAGGATAAACATGTGTGACAATTTACAACCATTTACCGCATGCAGCTTGAAACCTACAATATTTAAATACGCCCAACAATGTAACAGAATGAGCAGGAATCTCTGAAACGTTGTAGCACTATGTGGGTATTTCATATTTCGAAATTCATATCCTGAGCCACTGATGCTAAGTTGCATGGATTTATAATCAATTTAACATTTTTGTTATATCAATAAGTATCTACACTAATATTTCAAAAGAAAAAATTTAGATAATACATTGACACAAAAAAATTCGATTAATTTATTAGTCTGAAAGTCATTCCCTCATCTCGTCCCGGGGTCTGAAATTCATATATATATATATATATATATATATATATATATATATATATATATATATATATATAATATATATATAATCAAATCTGTTCATATTCTTATAAATTGAATATTACTAAAATATTCGGTAATAAGTATGGATTGTATAGTCAAGTTTTCATTGCTTAAAAAAAAGAATAAAAAAATCTATTTAAACTATGTCCCTTGAAATGAAATCATTCCCTTACCCATTATGAATATTCGATTTGTAGTCACACCATTTGATATATTTGAATGCAGCTGTTACGTTTTTGAAACTTGGCAATACTGCTAATAATGTCAACATGCCGGAATTTCTTAATAGTGAAAAGAGTTGCTGCGAAAAAGTATTGGATTTCAGTAATTAGAACATTACATTTCTCTGTGTCATTACATCACTGTTTATATTAAAAGTAAGTAATTATAATGTTCGAATGTTTTAATGATTTTTTCTTGTTTTGGGGAGTAAAATGCATTCACAAAATGCTAAATCAATTTGAGGTGATGTACTGTTGGTTGCGGTGTCGTTTACGCAAATCCGTCAATCCCTCACGGTCATTCCCTCACTAGATTAGAAAGTCAGGCAATGAAAATTATATGAGAGAATGATTTTTGCATATATGAAATTGTGGTTTGGGTGTTATTGTTTAACTCCAGGTTGTATAGCATGTGTTTTCAATTTTAACAGATATCCGTATATCTAGAATGAGGTAAATAAAGAAGTTAAGTGAAGAAGAAAAGAAATTAAAAAAGGAGTACGACAGAAAGAGGCGAGAACAAATGAAAATGAATGCCGAGTCTTTAGAAGATTTGCGTGAAAAAGAAAGATTAAGGTATTTAAAGAAGAAGTCAAGTGAAGTCAATAAGTTCTATAAGTGCAAGAGAAACTAGAATAGTAAAGTGTATAGGGTGAAGCGAGTTACATTACAAACAAATTTACAGAGAATAGTTGAAGACACACCCCCATCACGTCCTGCACCATCTTTACAGCACAGAGCAGATAATTTGTCTGCTCTCAATAGACGTAGAATGCGCAAGCGACGAACTATTCTGTACGCGAAATTTAAGAGTTTGGAAAATAAAGTAAGGAACGCAGTCAAGCTTAGCGAAAAATACAAGAAGAGGTGTTTGAGATAGAAAACTAAAAATACTGAACCAAACTCTCCTGCAATTAAAATGTCTTCGCTTTTAAAGAATATACAAGTTCCTGACGTTGTAAGAAAAAGACTCATTTTCGGAGAAGAACTGTCAACGGACCTCAAGAATACCTATGAAGATCTTGGAAGTAAACATGGAGAAAAGAAAAAATATTACAAAATGTTGAAGTTGCAATTAGTACAAATGATACAAATTGCTGTATAGATCGAAACATTTTTTCAAATCGATACGTACAAAAAGAACTGTACTCGTAAAGTTAGCACCAAATGCTGAAAGTTAAGGGTGATGTTGTTCATTTCTTAGAGAAGGATGAAAATACGAGGATGTGACCAGGGCAGAAGGACTATCTAAGCTCTCTAAAGTATAAAACAAATCTCAATACATCTATCAATACATTAACTTCAGTTTTTTATTGAAATTTAGCCATCAATTTGTTGTGAAAATCATTCCACCATCCTATAAGCCATTCCTCATTTCATAGTCTTTTAAAAGTCATTTTTCTACATGTTATACACAAAAATATGGAGGACCTTCATTTTCAATGAACCATACTAAAGTTAAACTTTATATTTTTGCAAAAAAAAAATTATATATTTTCATTATTTTTTTTAAGAAATGCAAAATGAAATTTCTAAATTTGTTGAGTAATAATACCCATGTATGTTCCAGTTTTTTATTTTTTGTTCGTAATTCCACCGAAACTGAATCAGTTTTCAAAATCTACGACCACCTAAACGATGTAAGTATTGAACTCGTGATAATATTCGAACTTCAGTTCTTCTGATATTTAAACCACCATATTCTGAGTAATACAAATTAAAGGTTGGGGCGACATTTGAGCGATCTTTTTTTTTCATTTTCGGAATTTTCTCCTCCGCCACTAGACCGATTACCAACAACTATAAATCGTTTTCATCTTTCTCATAGAAATATTGTATAAAAATTTCATCAAAATCCGAGCGGAACTACTCCAGTTATAGGCGGTCATAAGATTAGCGGACAGATAGACAAACAGACAGACTGACGGAAATGAGATATGGTTTTTCGTGATGTAAATGTCATATGAAATCCAAAAATATAAAGCCATAATATCTCGTTTGAGGAATCTTTAAAGATTACAACAGTCGCGTAGGAAGTAATACAAATATAATGAGAGAACTGTCAAAAAATTTACTTACGTCAAGACCAGTTTGATGTGCACTTCAGACTATGAGAATTATGGGACAAACAAATCTGTTACTCCTACAACAGCTTGTTTTAAGCTGACATCTTGTAGAAAGCCCTACATAATGTCAAGGAGAACCTATGTACGTATATAATGTCAAAAACCTGCCGACCTGGGATGATTCAAGAACACTTATATAAATTCCTATTCCCTACAGATTCATGTGTAGCAAATTCGAGAAAGTTGTCAATATGCCATACCTTCAGTTTCTTCCTCACTGCTAGATTCACTTGAACTACTTGAACTGCTGCTACTATCCTCTGTTGGGTTGGTCTTGACGGGGAAATTCTTCGGGATATTCTTTAAGTGTTCCCTGAGCTCATCTGTCAGTCCTCCTAGACCAATTGATGTGAAGAAGTTAATTGAGAACCTTGTGTTCTTTGGATTATCTCTGGGGAACAGCCCTGCAAAATATTCTTGGAGAGTCCTGAAACAAAATAATATCTCAGTTTTGAAATGAATTAATCGTAGGACCAATAAAAATGGAGTATAAACTCAAAATACTTTTCTAATTTGAAAGTGTTTGTATACACGATTAAATGATCAGTCATAATTTGAACCAAAAGTTTTTTTGGGTTGATGGCATGTTTTTGGAATGAAGGCACATGCCAAAAGTTTTATTTTACACTGTTTTGAAGATCATTCTCCATAAGCTGATTTCTGGGTATATCATAACTCTTGCCAGCATAGCAAGCGTAATGTTGGGAATTTCTTCCTGTATTTATCTTCAAATCTTGTAGGGCCCTTGGACGGTTCACATAAACAAGGGATTTCAGAAAACTCCAGAGAAAAAAATCACAGTGGACCATATCTGGAAAGCGGGGCCGGCCACCCCAAATCGCCTCAAAAAAAACCATCGATGCTCTTGAAGTGTGTGCCATTGCACATTCAGGTTGACACAAATGCCCAACTCATCTAGCTGTGGAAAAAAATCCTGTAACCGATCCGACTGCGACTTCATTTTTATCAAAAAACCAGGGACCAATAAATACATTTGAAATAATTGCACACCACACTGAGAATTTAGGTAAATGCAAATGTCTTTGATGCAAATATCGAGGACTGGTGTCACCCCATGTTTTGTTTGTTGACGGATCCACACCATTAAAAAAAAAGCGATAGCGTCCTCAGAAACGACTTCGATAAAACGTTCACACGCGCTCATTCGAGAATTGAAGTAACGTTCAGAAAGTTCCTGCATAATTGCCGACGCGGATATTTAAAAAGAAAGTTATGAGGCCGCACCCGGTGAAAACAAATGTTAACTACAGCAAAATAAGAATTTTTGTGTAGCACAGTTTTCGAAAGATTTCCTCCAAACACAGAGCAATAATGGAAACTTTTGGTCATACCTAACAACACTGTCTTTGCCTGCTCTCCAACATCTTAAAAATCCAAGTGTATTTGTATAGCCTATAAGATACTTCAAAAACTAAGAGTTCTGAACTTACTCGTCTTTTAACCTGGCGTTCAGCTTTCCCATTCCCATGTATTCAGCCAACTCCTGGAATAAGATTTTGATGAAGATCCTGCTGGAGCTATTCGTATCCTCCTCGTTAAGCTTCATTATATCGAGAACTTCCCAGCCAATCGCGTCCGTGAATAGGAGATGAGCGAAGAACTTGCTTACGTTCCTGAGGCGGTTGGCATCCAGACGATGGGTTGTGGCATAGGTGTCTTTGAAAATCTGGAGAAACAAATAGTATGTAGTAGACCACCACCTTCGAGCCAAACGCTATCCACGGCGACGTAGGGGCAGGCAGGGTTATTACGAAAAAAATACGTATAATGTCAAAGAAAACGACAATATGTCAACTTGCTGACTAGATAGTTCCTAACGACATAATTTGATATACTATTCGTCATTTGCTTGTCTGGGCGGTCCGTAGGACCTTTGTCCATTAGTCACTGTCTAATGTACGTTAGTCGAATCTGTCTGTCCTGGTTGACCAGAAACCAGACAATGTCGAGGAAAAAGAGAAAGGGAAAGAGAAGAAAAAAGGAGAAGAGCAAAGAAAAACAGAAGTCTTTAGTTTAAGAGGAAACACACACGGATTAATGTTGAGGTGAACTAAACACAGTTTGATTCGGTTTTGTTAGAGTGTAATTTTAAGTTTACTAAAGGTTAGCGCTAGTTTTTGATTACAGTGCGAGCAGTGGCCTTGAATGCTTACGAACTTGCTTCACTGAGTCACGCAGCAGAGGGTTGCTGTGCGATTTCGCTTGACTATAACGTCGCTACACCTGAAGCTTGACATAATCTCTCAAGTAAGGAATGTCAAGGTCTCTGTGTAGTGTCTCATTTGAGACATACCATGGAGCATTGCAAATTGTTCGCAAAGTTCCGCTTTGCAGCACTTGAAGACTTTGCATGTGTGTCAAACTCAATTTGGAGGATATAGTTGCCGAAACACAATTTGGAATTTTGTTTTACGAGTGCACCATAATTTGATGGTTGGAGAATGCCGAGATAGACGGAAGAGAATATCGGGTGATTCTCCAAGGTGGCTGACCCCTATAACTTTTTTATTATTGAAGATAGGAAAACGAAATTTGGTGGTTGTGTATTATGGATGAATTTACATTTTTTGACATATTTACTTGCTTTGACGTACTTCCTGTTTGACCGGGACCGACTCCAACTTTCGATTAGGATTACGAATACGTCCATTTTTTTCACCTTAATCTTTTACTGAAACTTAGAAATTATGTATGAAAAATAATATCAGACAAATGTCCGCCTCTAGAAGCCGCGCAAACCTGAGCCTTCTTGATTACATTTTCCATCTCTTTTTGGAAGATTTCGAGAGGAATATTTACAATCGCTTCCGTAATATTGTTCTTCAGCTGCTCTACAGTGTTTGGTTTGTTAGCATAAGCCCTATTTTTAAAAAATCCCCAGAAAAGAAAGTCAGGAGCCGTTAAATCCGGTGACCTTGGCGGCCAGTTAACATCACCAAATCGAGAAATTAAACGTCCCGGAAATATTGTTCACAAAAAATTCATTGAAAGAAGTAAGGTTCAATGACACCTCCATACCAAACACCGCACCAAACTGTTACTCGACGTGGATGTAGTGGTCGTTGATGGATGACACGAATGTTCTCTAATGCCCAGATGCGACAATTCTGCTTATTAACAAATCCGTTCATATCGAAGAGGGCTCCATCGCTCATTATCGCTTGTCGCATGACTGTATTGTCGGCGACTTTCATGGTCACTAGGCTGTAGTTCTTGGGTTACCTGAAGTTTGTATAGCCGCAAATGCAAGCCTCTTTTAAAAATAGTGCATAATGACTAGCGACGAATACCCAGTTCATGAGAACGATGTCTTGTAGACGTCTAAGGGCGCTCCACTACAGTTTCACGTTCTCTCTCGATATTTTCCGCAGTACGAACAGTTCTTGGCAAGTCTTTAACTTCACCTGTTTGTTCAAATTTCTGCACCAACTAACGAATGGTGTTGACACTGGGCACATTATTTCGACCGACATCTTGTAGCTTCCGAATCGTTGCAACAATCGAATCATTATTTAAGTAAAACGTTTTAACAATACGGACACGTTGCGGGATCGTGTAGCGCTCCATGATGAATTGAACACATGTGCTTTAAACAACTACTATGGCGCCACCTACTGAAATACGTGTATCAAAAATTGCGCGCAATATGAATAAGTCAATTGGCCACCCTGTAAAATAGTGGAATTATAAAATTATAGTACAATACTTTTCAGTGTATTTAACTGTTCCGGTTGACCTTCAACGTAATATCTAGCAATGTCGTCATAAATACCTATCCCAAGAGTGTGACCTCAAAAATCACACAATATATCTTACCTGTTGAAAAGGTTCAATGTAAGTTTTGTTAATCTGACAGAACCTCTGCGCTAGCAATCCATAAAACTTCTCGTACGTCCTCTGTTCAGCACAGCAATCCAGGAACATGTGACACAATTCAATTTCCTGGCCGGGTTTCAACTCCATCTTCAACAATTTATGTGCACACTCCTCAAAATCCAAACTCGACTGAATGGTCAAGTAGATGGTCCTTCTGAGTGTGATTAGATTAGTTTCAGTGCTATCGATTATTTTGCTGGCTTCTTTTGGCCCCTCGTCATCCTCATCATCAGATTCCTCGTCTCCTGACGCTTCTGAGCCAGAACCGCTCTCACTGTCACTTTGAAGGATTTCTTTGCTAAGAGTTTTGTATTTGCCTTCATTTTCTTCGTATTTATCGTCGAACTTAAACACATCTGGAATTGGAAACACATTGATTTGTAAAAAGTTATCTTACGCTAAAACGGTTAATTTTAACGATGTACCACGTCAGAAGAAGCATAATTAATGAAACGACTTTGGAAACATTGCCAAAAAAATGTATACAAAAAATTAAATAAGAAATAGATTTGATGAGCTGTTGATAAGGCTTATTATGCTCTGCATCTTTTAAAATTGTCATCAAAATGGTCTATAGATTATGTTAGACCAGAAATAGAACTAAGTTAATACCAACAGGGCGCTAAAACAACACTGATGTGTTAGAACTTCTATATGTCAAGAATGAACAGAATTTTTTGTTAGTGGCGAAAATGCTTTTTTGAGATAGAGAAAACAAGCTTCTTTTTGTTGATTTTTATAAAGGGGTTTTCATTAAGTGTGTCTGAAATTTAAAATTGAATAAAGCGAGTTGTGAGCGACATATGATGGAAACTTTAGTTACTTATTAAAGTACATTTAATACCATTACGTTGTAAAAATTACATCATTCAAATCGCCTCTGGGGCTTCGTTTACAGGACTCGATCCGAGAGGTCCAATTTTGTTCTCCAGTTGGTGATTTGTTGCGAAAAACCAGCGACTTAATGTAACCCCAGAGAAAAAAGTCTAAGGGCGTTTAGACGCACTATCTTCGCGACCATTCCATATCGCCTCTTCTGGAAATAACGTGTCCTGGAAACATTTTCAGAAACAACTGCGTTGTAATGGCCGACGTGTGAAACGTTGCGTCGTCTTGTTGGAACCCCATGTCGCTCAGGTCCATATCATCCGATTGAGGCCATAAAGTCAGTTATCATGGTCCGATACCGGGTCACCGTCTCGCCATTCTCGTTTCGGAAGTCCAATGACGCCGGCGGACCAAAACCCACACCAAACGCGAAAGTACGACGCGCTTAGAGGTCTTGGGTCTTCAGTTCTTGCGTCAACTGGATCTTATATGGATGCCTGGACAAGTCTTTTCGTAAAATTCTCCAAGTCGAGGTCGCAGTCAGGCCAATTGCTTGTGCACGACGCGGAGTCGAAAGGTTTGGGTCTTAACCTACACTTTCGGCAAAGGCAACAATATTCTCGCTTGACCGCGCGTTTGTGCGTCTTACAGAAACTGCTCGATCAGCAACCGAACCATCTTGCTCGAATTTAGCGATAATTCGTTAAATTGTTCGCTCCGTTGGACGATTATTTCGGTCGTAAACATTTCGTAGCTCGCGAAAAGTTTGACGAAGAGAACACGAATTTTTATTATAAATTTCAACAATTGCGACGCGTTCTTGCACAGTGTAGCGCTCCATGGTAAAATGGTGACTATGACAGAACACAAACATCCGTGCCACCTGAAATGTCAGAGCAAGATGTTGCCAAATTTCGGACATTCGGCTATTGAAAAACCCTTTACAACGCATGACGGCAACTATCAACTAGTTGTAGCATAACAATGATATAAAAATTATAGTCATTTTGACATTCATGTCAAGAGTTAAACTGGAACAGAATCATATGAGGTGCACACTAGTATATAATGCGGTTGATCCTACTATGATACTGTATAATAGGACTTGACAGCATTTTTGAAATATACTTACTCAAAATATCCTCAGAATCAGCCTGCTTAACATCATCCAAGGTGATAAGATGAGTGAATTGATCCTCTTCTTCAACCACGTCTAACTCCTCAATCACAGCAGCATGATCTTTGAATCCATCCTTCCTTATTTGGAACATAACTTCAATCATATACTGGATCCTCTTCTCCAGGTGACCTTCATGCAAGATATTCCTCAGCATCTCAAAAATCGCCGCTATGCCTTTACTCGATACCTCTGTCAGTTTCTGACCACATTCTTTCAGAAAGGATATAGCCACCTCTACCGAGTCATCCGTAGGGCTTTCCACGAGCAAAGTGAGGATCTCTAATGCGAGGATTTCATGAGCTACTCTTTGGTTTACCAAATGCGCGACAAAAGTAACTGAGCAGATGCACGTTGCTTTGTTATTCTGTTTGAAACCTCGCTTGAATTGCAGCACCAGTCTTCGCAATAGTAGCTCTCCAATGTTTGGAAACTTTGAATTGATCACCGCGACCAAAGCTGCATAGACGTTGGTGAAAGTGGGAGATGCAGCTTGAGCTTGGATAATAGATTTGCATAGCAAACCTCTACCTGAAATATGAAAAATGATTCTGAGACTTTATCATAATAAGCCTCGTGGGATAAGTGGGGCATAGACATAGTAATTAGCACTACTAAACTAAAATACAGTCTACAGTTTGACCAGCTTTGATAAATGTATTGCCTGACTATTCAATAGCTGCAAGAGACAATCAGTTATGAGTTACTCACCTCTGACAATGTTCTCATGCAACAGTTCCCTTGTAATGATTCCAATGTTGGATGTGTTGACTTTGTTGATATAACCATGGATAGACTTTTTCAATGCTTCCCAAGCAATTCTTTGATATGCTGCAGACGATTTGTCTGTAATGTTCTCCTGCATCATCCGAAGCTTTGCAGGAGGAATGTAGGCTCCACCAGTGCGCGAGGTAAGCATGTCAACAGTTTTGCGTTCTCGTGGCTTTATGACCGATTTGTCCTCAGTTACGTTTTCTTCCTTTTTTTCACTCCCCTCTACCTTTTCCTTTGACTGCAACACATAAGCACATTACACTGAGAAACCGTGCCTAAATTATGTGTTACCGCATAACAAATAAAAATTAGTTCTCTCCATACATGATTGGGTATATTTTCCTTCGGTAATATTCGGTGAACACCTTGGACATTATACATCTATGAAAACCCTATTTAAACCAAAGCTGCTCCATAGCCAAATGTGCAGAGGTGTCTCAGAACCCCTTTGTCACCTAATTGAGAACTCATTTGAGAATGGTATTCTTTCTAACCAGTTAAAACTTGCACTTGTTAAACCTCTCTACAAAAACGGTGACAAATCTTATAGAAGAATATAGACTTACAGTTTATAATCAACTTTTTCAAAAAAAAAATCGAGATTGCTATGTGCACTCAACTTTTGCAGTTTTTTTTTATGACATGAAACTTATCACAACATGGGTACCTAAAGGTAGAAACGGCTGTTTATGGGTTAATAAACTAACTGGCTGGGAGACAGGAAGTATTTGTTTGAGCATTTTCTTTTTGGATCTTTTGATAGCCAAAACCATCAAATTTTACTAGACATCCTAGAGATATGGCATCTGTGCTCCAGCTCTTGGTTGGATCCAGACATACCTTGTTATAATAGAAAACAGAGGGTTTTTGTTCAAAATGATAGAAACAGCTTTTTTCAGAGCAGGATCAGCCTCTTATGGGTATTCCACAGGACTGTATTATCGATCCTCTTTTGTTTGTTTTTTATGTGAACCATCTGGCTGAGTAGATACTCGATGGCATGTCATATTCTGTAAATTTTGTGGCTGACACAAATATTCACACAGTGGGAGCATCACTGAGCTTCTAGAAATTTCTTTCAACCATTTAATAGCAGGCATAGAATGGTTCACTAAAATCAACTTGGTCCTCAATTCAGAAAAAACAAAATTTCTTTCTTTTTGAACAAATCAAAGAGACAGAAAAATCCCAGATATGGTCTTAATCAGCAAGGTGAAGTAACAACTAGCACAAAGTTTCGAAGTACTCACATTGACCAGAATATGGATTGGGGGGATTATATCATGAATGTTTGTAAAAAGGTCATTTCAGCATCTTAATCCCTAAGAATTATGTCTAGGTATTTAGGCATTAAATATCTTAAGATTGTGTACTACTCAAACATTTATTCCATCCTCAGATATGGAATAATATTTTGGTAGGGCTTTCACAGCACAAAAAAGATCAGTATGCACCAGGCTATATCTGCAAAGTAGACAAACTATTCTCACTGTGCCAGGTATTTGTATTTTTGAGTGTCTCCTGTTGTTGTTTAGAAACAGAGAACTATTCAGCGCCTATGAAAGACCTGAAGGTCAGGCATGTCATGTCATTTTATTTAGTAAGAGAAAAGTGATATGCCTCATTTGTAAGCTTGTATTTTTCATTTCTTAAGCCGTGAGTATCTTTAGTACATTTTGGTATATCTACTGTTATTATTATATAGTGGCCGGTTACAGGTTTTGTGTACTGATGTTTAATTATTCAATTGTTGCAATGGACTACTTGTGTTTGTTGGAATACAATGTTATGAATTAAAGTTATTTTGAACCTGAAATGCTCATACTACTACTACTGCAGGTTGAATAATCTGCCATAACATTTAAAGAGTGGCGTGTGTTGGAAGACCTTTATCATGAAACCAATTTCATGAACAAGCTTCAATAAGCCAACTGCACTTGTAGGAAACACTTTTTCTTGCTCAATTAGCAAAATATTGATATGAATTCTGGAAATGATGAAAAAAACAGTAGTTTTGAAATGACTCATTAATCACGGATCAGTAGCACAAGTCTTGTTTTAGCTTGTGATGATAGTCTGATCCTATCAAATTTGAGAATTTGACATGTTACTACCATTCATAATGCTTCAATGCTCATTTCATTGTCTTCCTATAGTTCTCTTTGCTTTCCTTCAAATTAATGGACATGCATCTTACCAGCAAGCAGATCAGGGTTTAAGCCAAAGCAAGTGTAACTCTTATTTACTAAGTAAGCATAATTAGGCATATCTGCAGCTAAGAGGTAAACAGTTGCAAATATAATTCTAACCAATATAGAGTCAAGCTTTTGTAAGTTGCTATTGTGGGACAAAAGTTCCAAATCTGTGATAATCAATACTTTTAATTTTAACTATATATTTATATTAAAATGTGCTAGTTTTTATATGCAAGTTTTGCAAATTACTCAAACTCATTTATGGACTTACAATTGTTTACCACTTGATGCCAAATGTGTGCTTTTTAACAAGAATTGCATGCAAGGGCGCCCATAAGGAGGGAGGGAGGCATGTGCCCCCTGGCCCTGCCGCTTGAGGAGTAAAATAGAGTCTCCATTTCTTGAACAAGGGACAAAAACAACCCTATATAGAAACCATTTTTTCTCAACAACTAGTTAGTCTGCTTCAAACAGATTGACTGCCCCTTATGAATTTAGCTATATGGGCGCCCATGTGTATAAGTCTTGTAGTTTATCTGATTACAAAATTATACCGTTGCTTTCTCTGTTTCTTTTGCTGCACCACCAGCATCATAGTACCTGGGACCAACAGGATCCCTAGTAACCTTCTTAGGATATTTATTCCAGTAGCTATCACTATTTTGCCTATCCTCTCCATAGTATCTGGGGTATTCTCTGGGAGTATCATCTTCTTCTGTTCTGCGACGTTTACGTTCGCGAGACTTTGATCTTGAGCGCTTTTTCTTACGGTCCTTGTGCTTTGACCTCTTCCCATTTTCCCTATCAGGGGATAAAGATCTGCTAGTGCGTCTTTTACCACGTGCCTCCACTTCCTTCGTCATTGTTAAATCGTACTTGAGCTGCTTAAAATACTAAAACTGAACTAAAATCACTAGAAAATAAATTGATGTGGTTTTCCACATAAGTTCGTTTTTGACTTAATAGAGATAGGTTATGTTGTGGTTGCTGACGGGCTGTCAAGCTGACAAAAGAGGATAAGTGTTGCCATATCGCCAGCCAAATTATCAATGGAAAGCAAGTCGCGAGTGCCTAAAGCAATGATCACAAGAAATTTTTGTAATTTCTACCAATTTCTGCTGCTTGATTATATACCCATATTATCGGTATACAACCAGAAACAAATGTCGGGCTAAATGTGACCTTAACATGACATTGCAAATTTTTACAGCTTATATAGGAGCTAATTATAAATTGGGAATTCAAAAAAAGTTGTCACATGGTGTCATTGAAAACATATGTAATAATTTGAAATCGATTTCTCGACGCGGAAAGGGAACGGAGCACAAATAATTAAAATCAAACTAGGTGACTTTTTGGTACATCTGGCAACAGTGTTCAATTTCGGCACAGGACAACACAAAGCAGAAAAAGTTGTAACTGGGGAGTAAGAGACAATATGGAAACAATCCACGTCGTCATTCAGTGTATATGTTTTGTGGTCGCCATCTTGAAAAGGTATCTACCATGGCGTTGCGATATCTTCGCGTTGCACGAGGGAGGAACCATTAATTCATGTATACCATCCAATATAACGGCACGGGTATCACGTATCTTGAAAAGTGACGTTATATCAATTTTTTTAGACATTATACTGTGTTTTTGACATTATGTAGGTTTTTCTACAAGATGTTAACTTAGCACTTAGTTGTACGTGTTGCCTAAACGTCATGAGGCTTTAGTTATCAATGTTTAGCTCTGATGTGATGTAAAATCTGCTGCAGAGATGGTATTACTGGAGGTCTAAGCTGTAAGTTGTATGTGTTGATGATAATTCTATTGGATTCTTGTCTCCAATACTTTAGATTCAAAGCTAGAAATTGGTTGCGCACACATTTTTTCTTATCCATTCTGGAAATTACATATACAAATTTGCTGAATCTGAAAAATGCGTCAGTGTTAGCAACACAAAATTTCAGATAAACTCTTTGCTCAACAAAACGATCCATATCAAAATGCGACAAAAGTTAACTGACGTAAACAAACGCCAGACAGATGATAATAAGGCACTGGCGCTATAATATTGACACGTATGTCAGTTCAGGTGGTACCATCCTGAAAAAAATAAAAATCACCGGTTCTGTCATGTGCAGTTTGCTGAAGTTAAAAATTCCCGGTACTTTTTGATCATAGGGTATATCTCATTCAAAAACGTGGGTTGTTATTTTTGTTGTTGGTAACCCACAGTTACCGATAATGTTTGAATGCCTTACATAAAATTGTACTACATACCCAAATGTATCTATCGTTTCACCCAAAGAATCACGAGGACGCTACCTCATTTATAATTAAGCATCTAGAAGAAATCTGTAATTTTGCAAAGGACAATGCTCTTAAATTGAACATTGAAAACAACCAAATGATTTTATTCGGCCCAAAATGGAGATCCATTTTTTTGAAGGAAAACATGCAAATTTGGATCGACAAATCACAGTTGAAATTCTCCGACCGTGTAAATAACCTCGGGGTGCCCTTTGATGAAAAACTAAGGTTGCGATATGCTACCAAAAACATGTTGACTAAGTTTTTCAAGAAAATTTGATGTAATGGTCTACTTATTTTCAAAAGTCTTTATTGTATGCCATTACATTATCCCTGCCTAGACCAATATACAGCAAAACGTTGACAGAAAATCCAAAATTACTGCTGCCGTCTGATAGACAATCTAACAAGTGTAGGGTACGCACGATAGATGGTAACAATAGAATATAACGATAAACGTCAAAAGAACACCTCATCTTAGAAGTACCACCCTGTACCATTTCATTTTTCATACCACATGGGCAGCACGTAAACAATTCGATATGGGCAACAATGTCAGGGTAATATTAAATCCACTTACTCGGTGACGAAACGACAACGAGTTATCCTTCTTTGGCAAGCGATAAGGGCGATATGATCGGAATGTCGCTTTTAAAAAAAGACTTATGATTATCTCCCGTATTCAACTGACATCTCATGCACCAATCTACTATTTACATACTAGTAAGGATTCGTCACGCAGACTGAATCATGGGATCGTCACACAGACGATCCTGATCGTCACACAGACTGATCATTAAGTCGTCACACAGACAGACTAGGTGTCCTGACACAGACTGACTCTTTGGTCGCTAGGAGTACGGACATACGTGCCGAGTTTAACGATTGTTACAAAAAGCAGTCTAGGAACTACAGTAGTATATCACGTATTGCCGTGTCAATATCCCATGCGCTCCGACACTTTCCCTGGCAGAGGAAATAGAGCAGTAATTAACATAACTATCTCAACACAGCAATCGATCTCCGGAAGTCCCATAACAACCTCCAGAACCTGGAGGCATCTCACCTGAGGATATTCAGTAACAAGTCGTAAGCCATAAGCATCTTTATAAACACGGCTTAAGACTTTGATGGTCATGAATATAAAAGATTTATGGTTATAAATCTATGCAGTGCAGTAGAATAAAGGAATCACTCAGTGATTGCTCACCTTTCAGGTATCCAAAACACTACACCCAATAGCACGCCAACACTGTAATTAGGTCCACAATGTGCAATATTTGGTCTGAGAAGCGTTAACTTCAACGCACTAGTTGAACAATTGAACAATTCTCTACCTAATGACCTGAAAAATATCACTGAAGAAGTTTAAAGTAAATTTGAAGTTGCATCTTCTGCTATTGAACTTTTACATTGCTTTATTTTATCATTTTTGAAGAATATGTATATAGATAATACGTGTGCGTGTATGTTAGGGTGTCCCTTATTTTTCAAAGTTTTCATTTTATAATGCATACCCCCCAGTTTTTTCGTGTATCCCTCATAAGCTTGGAAATAAAATTTCACCATGTTTGAAGCACTACAACTTGCGTTTAAACTTGTTCATACAAGTAGCGCGAAAAATGCAGCGCGCGATCGCGGTATTTGTCCTTTGTTCATCAGCCACCGGCCGATCGACACGCATTGTTTTATGTTTTCGAGATGGCAGTCTCATCAAGGATTGATAAGAAAGATATTTTTTTAGTAGGCGACATATGTCATCAAATAACAGGTGCGAAGCTCCCGTCTAACCGTAAAGTACTCGCAGTTCCTTTTTTTAACATCCGCGAAGTTAAATTGACTGTAAAAGAAAGTGCGAATCGTTTCTCCACTACCAGGTCCATTGCAAAAAATGAATGGTTTGCAGAACACGGAAGACCTATTGGCATGCGAAGTGTTTACCGACGAATGAGAAGTTTTGGCTTGTTTTCATACCGGCCACACTGGGTCCTCCCTTTAACTCGAGAACACCGACGTAGTCGCCTTGAGTGGTGCAGACAACGGTCCCTCTGGGATCAGGAATGGAACAGTATTGTCTTTAGTGACGAGTCTCGATTTTGTTTAGGCATGCACGATGGTCGTGCCAGGGTTAGAAGGCGACGTGGTGAAAGGAGGAATCCACAGTTTTTTGTTGAAAGACACATGTTCATCACACTGTTGGAGTTATGGTTTGGGGTGCTATAGCTTATGGTTCCAGGTCACCTTTAATCTTCATCAGAGGTAACATGAACGCGCAGCGTTATATCCACGAAGTTCTAGAACCCCATCTTTTACCCTATCTTGACACCCTGGCAGATCCAACTTTCCAACAAGATAATGCCCGACCACATGTTGCAAGAGTCACAATAGACTTCTTTCAACATAATGATGTCACATTGTTACCATGGCCACCAAGATCTCCCGACTTATCCCCAATTGAGCACGTGTGGGATATGATGGGTAGGAGATTGCTCAATTTGCAACGTCCTCCTTAGACTCTAGAAGCACTTCGAGAGGAGTTGGTGGTTGCCTGGAATGAGATACCACAGGAGGACATTGACCACCTGATCAGAAGCATGCCTAGGCGCATTGGAGAATGCGTAGCACATCAGGGTGCATCCACACATTATTAAAGGTCAAACGGATTTAAAGCAGTGCAATCATTTTGAAATTTTTATCATTTACTTATTATGCTTCATTAAGTACTTATACACAATTTTATTAAAATAAAACCATTTAAACTGGGTGTTCGGATTTATATGTCACTTAGTATATTTCCAAAGCAGCTCTGAGCAAGTTTAGTCAACATCTTTGGTATTTATCTGAGCAAATCGTCGGTTTGGCACTTTTTGATGCAGAAGTCGATGAACAGACCAAGAAAAACATGGTTTTGAACCCTCAAAGACAGAGTTTGTACTTTGGAAAGAGATACATTCCATCACAAAACGAGTAGTCCAATTATTTGTGTGGTAAGTGAAAGTACCTTTACTTGCTGAGCTGTTTTTTAGTTGTTTTCGTACTATGTATGCTGATAACAAATAGTTGCAGGGAAATCATTGCGCGATTTTGTGTCAGCGATGAGCATAAATCTGTTTTTTCGTTTGAAAATGGACAGAAGTTTTCTGGAGAAACCCGTGTCTACCTGGGAAACTGATCCCTCCTCTCTGACGGCAAAACAAACCGCCTTTTCTTTAAGAGCAGTCAATGATACGGCAGAACGGGCTGTGAAACTAATACAGGATTTTCATGGTCTAATCAGGAAAGAGACCCTAAAAAAGCTATCCTGAGCGATGATCACTTTTACCTATTTTAATAGATAAATATTACTATTTGAGACTTGTTTTTACTGTTTCCAAAAATAATTATAATTCGCCAGATTGAGCTACGTAACAAGAACAGTTGAAAACAGTTATTTTCGAAATTCTAGAGGTAAACCCGGCACGGGTTAATACTGCCTCAGGTAAATGAAACTTAGTTTTTGACTATTAAGAGCGTATGCGTTTCAATATCTCAAAAAAATATTTCTCTCCACAATAAGGGACAACCCAGTGTATGTATATAAATTTCTAGTATCCAATGTCGCATAAGTGAAAGAATGCTTTTTATAACAGATCGTTATGAATAAAGTTATTTATTGTTATATCGTTTATTAATACCTGTGGTTATTGTTAATATTTTGAAACGCATATATGGTTAGAAAAATAGAGACACCGATATACGGAAGACCCTGATTTATTTATTATATTACCATAATCTGATACACAAAACAAAATAAGTAATCAAGATCTGTTACAAGTATAAGTTA